GCCAACGGCATTTTCGTGTTTTTTGCCTGACAGGCATAATCTTTGTAGGTTCTGCCTTAGTTGGGGAAGAAGATGTACTCTCCATCTCCGTAACATCTTCAGTATTTTCCTCCGTTGCTTCTGTCTGTTTCTTTGGTTTCGCCGACTTAGATTTTGCTGCTTTCTTTTTCCCAGTTTTTTTAGTTTCCTTCTTCGTTTCTTTTTTCACAGTTTTTGGGCTCTCGACGTTCTTTACAGATTCAGGTGCAGGTTTGCTCCCGCCGGAACCTTTCTTATGCAAGATTCCCGACTGCAATTATTCTTTTAATAATTCGTTTTTTTAGAATAGTTAGAAAAAATACATTAACTTAGATTACCGTTAAAGGTGTAAAAAAATGTCTACACGAAATTCTACTTGCATTCACTTGTTTCTCTCTACCAGCAAATTTTATTTTTTTTAAATTCCCAAAGTTTTCAAAATTTTGAGCCTGGGGGACCTCCTCTTGAATAAATATGTAGAGAAATTTTGACCATTTTCAACAATATTTACTCAAAGTTTTCAAAATTTTGAGCCTGGAGGACCTCCTCTTGAATAAATATTTAGAGAAATCTTGACCATTTTCAACAATATTTTCTCAATGGGAAAATTCCTACATTTCTTCTTGCAAATATTACAGAGACGAACTTGTTTATTTATTTCTGACTTACAATTTGGGGTACTGGTTGTCTCCCCTTCCACTGGTGGGCTATCATCTTGAATCTCCTTCAGATCGATCGTCACCTGCTCCATCAGTTCTGGTCTCAGGTTAGGGGACACTGTCATTACAAACACTTAGATTACAGTAAAATTAGACTCATTAACCTTCAACTGCGAAATATCCTTAAGGATCCTCACACCAAAACAGTATCAACGCATTGGAAACTGTATTTTTTGAGATGACTACAGCCTATATAAAACATTTCTAAAAATAACATACCTTAGAGAGACTGGTGTGCCAAGAAACCCCCAAATGAGGGTTTGTCACACCTTTGACCGATCTTACAGAAAGTATTCCTGGGAAAAAACGTTTTTTGTATGTATCAACTTTTGGTGAAGAGCCCTACAACCTACCTGCTCGTGGTGTGGAAGGTTTGACACTAGGGGAGACAACTCCTGAGCTACCAGGGGAGGCTACTCTGGGAGTGGCTGGTGGGGTCACGCCCACAGTTGATGGTGATGGATGTGCATCATCTGCAGACATAAACAAATAACACATTTGGTTATGAGAAGAAACATTTGCACATTTAGGTACTGTATATATTTTCTATAAAATATTTTGCATTTGGTGCAAATGTTTTAATGCTGCATTTTTAATGCATCATTTTTCAGGATACTAACTTTAATATCTTCCAACCATTTGTTAAATTGGCTACTGTAATTGAAGATGAAAATTACAAAAGACGGCAAAATTTCTAATTTTTGATGTAGCCTTATTACATAACTTATAATTCACCAACTACAGAAAAAAAAAATATGATAGAATATGAAAAACTTTCAAACTTTACAGTAGCGTTGTTTGAGCTTTAAAGCATTGTTGGCCATTAAACGTTAATCATATCTGTGAATTTGAGATAACTTCTTTCTTCATAAAAATGTTTAGGAATATTCTATGTTTTGTAAGTGTTCACCCACCTGACTTGACAAGTGTACTGGCAGCAAGAGTCTGACCGACCAGGACTCCAGATGATGTGAGTGCGGACAGCTGCTGTTTCGTCAGATTCTGTACGTTAATCACCTGGGTCTGCGGAACAGGGGCAGACAACTGTGACGAGGAGGTAGTAGATAACGGTGTGTTGGGATGGAAGACTAGGTTGTACGTCGGAGAGGATGTGGAGGTCGATGTTGCCATACTGCTCTGGATTGCCGGAGACATGGTCGGAGACGTAGAAGTGGCTGCTCCACTGATTAGTAGTCGAGTGACAAGTTTGTTTCGGACTCCTGGTGTATCCAGTATTTTTGAGGATGTTGAGGTTACGGCCGCTGTTTGTTTAGGTGTCCCCTTTCTTGACTGGCTTCCCACGACTGTAGGTGTCGGTAAGACTTGACTAAGCGACTGTGGTGGGCGTGTTTTTAAAGCCTCGGCAAGACTAGTGAGGTCTTTGTTGACAGTGTGTTTTGTTGGCGACAGCAAAGTCTGACTAGTGGCACCTTTTTGAACTTCCGGTGATTTTGATAAATTCCCCACGATATTTTTCAGATCCATAGCCTCAAGCACGGTAGATGGAATATTTTTGTTTCCACCAGTTGATCGTTGCGAACCGGTTGCCATGGTACCTAGATTTGCAAGGGTTGAAGTCAGAACTTGACCTTGATTTGCACCAGTCATCAACGTAAGAAATGCCTGACCTTGACCTCCATTTTGAAGTGCCGTGTTGATGTTTGAAGGAATGCTTGAGGACGGCATCAAACTGACGGGAATACCAGTCGACAAAACAGACCCTCCGGAGGCTAAGGAGGTGGAAACCGTTGACATCTCTTTCTGTCCCTTCCCGTCTAGGTTGATGGTTATGCCGTATTTCTGTGCCTGTGCAGTGTTGCCCATCATGGCTGCTAGCTGACTCAGTGGAATAGTGATACGCTGCTCTTTACCTTGACCAACAGTGGCGGTTTCTGCCGGTTTCGAACCACTGGCCATTGAAAGTGCTTTCCCACCAACAGGGAAGGTTATCTTCTGTTCAATCCCTTTACCAGCAGCTGTGGTTGTCCCGCTCGCCCCTTGACCTCCCACACTCAGTGCCCCCTGACGGAGCAGGTTCTGAATTTCGGCGGGTATTGCGATGTTTTCCACCACTTTCCCTTCCTGGTCCGTTTTGTTCTGCATCTGTAGGAAGGTGACCTTGCTGCCTTTCTGGTCGACATACGGCAACTTCAATGGTAATACTGATATCACGGACTGGTCAGCTGTAGGAGAAAAGAAATGAAATTCGGAAATAAATAGTATGTCAGATTCTGAAGACTAGTGTGTTTATTCTGGTTGATGTGTTGAAAGAATTAAGACCTTTGAACAGCAGTGATGTTCAATCGGTATATAATAATATATTACATAATCGATAATCTGTTTGTAAATGGAAGTAATAAAACAATCAATGATCGTACTCAGTTTATAACCTCAAGGGGATAGCCAAGTATAGCAAGAACAATACTGTAACAATAGACTGAGTTGTAAACTACGCATTAAATTTCGTTCNATATCCCTTATTTGCAAACAATGTTTGCGCAGAAAAATTAATCACATCTTTTTAACGTGTACGGTTGATATAAAGTAAAAGGTTTTAATTTCATCACGTCGCCTTTTCCGCATTGCATTGTGACGTCACGTCATTTGAAATGGGGTGTAAGATAGAAATTTCCCTTTGTTACCCTGGACAGCTCTACCTTATGGAAATGAGATAAATACTGTATATCGATACCTTCCCCTGCAGTTTGATTTTTCGCCTTTTTCGCTCTCCATAATGAGGGCCAATCTATCATGATAGCGAACATTAGTAAAAACAGCATAATAAAGAAATAGTGATATGTGAAGGTTAAAATTTACATTGGGTGAATAAGGATTTTACTCGTGAAGGGCAAAACTTTGACTGGGCACAGAGTTCCCAGTATACAGTACTCAAACGAAACAGAAACTCAATAGCAGTCTACCACCGACACCGCAGCGCCAAGCATATGTATTGTATGCAGTGGTTTGTTTTCACATACGCCCATACATTTTTCCTTTAAGACATTTAAAAGTCCATGCTCTTTACTAACGAGTGTTGATTATCATTGTAGGTTAGACTTTTTTTCAACACGTAATATCGCCCTGACCGTATAGCCACGATTTGTTCCAAATCATACACTTGTGGAAAGAACTAGACAGGAGAGACAGGAGGGTTCAAAATCGCTGTAATATCCCCAAATAACCTCCCAAGTTAGCCAATGCACTTGTTAGGGATTAATAGAATCTTCCCCTGTCCTGAGGGTGTGACAAGAGAAATCTCCAACCCGAGGGATGGAGATTTCTCTGTTACGCTTTCAAGGTAGGGGATGATTATTTTTCCATCGACAGTAGTCTGCCATGTTTGTAAACAAAAACAGATGTGGGGTATGCACATCGTCATTCACTTTGGATGACGTCATAATTACCGGCGACACATTTTAATGACGTCACAATTGAACACCTGCTAATTGGCACGAGGCTATCTCCCCCTAGGGGGTGACAAGCTGATCTTTACCGGCTAAAACGGGAGACACGCCTGCGAAGGGTGGGGGAATATAATTACATTCCTATTAAAATAATCAATGCTGTTATGAACCAACTCTATGCAACATAGATTAAGAGATACCGTAGCTGTGAGAAGACGAGGAGAAAACAAACAATACTAAGAAAAAGATCTATAAAAGTGTATGCTGTAACATCAATGCTCAAAATTAACCATTAAATCTATAAGTTAGACATACTTCCCAAAAGTATTCTTTTATAAACTCGTAAATTTGAAGTTGAGCTTCTTTTTCATTCGGGTATACATTTCTATGTGTGCGTATACAATTTCATTCCAAATGAACTAAAAATTAAAACAATCTTTAACCTTTCACCACTGTAGACCATAATGGACATATCCAGATCAATGCATGGTAGAGTTAATTAATCTCTCTTGACTTCTTTCTTTTTTATTCTGCTGGCTATGTCAATATGTTAAAGTCAATGGGTTGTAAACTAACTCATTCACCCCTAAAACTCTGTAATGAACTATTCCAACTATTGAATTGGAGGAGTTCTAAAGTGTCTTCAGGAGTGAATGAGTAAATCAATGATTGTCATTGATATATCAACTATGCATCTTGAAAAAGTATGGCAACCTTTGCAATTTCATCCGTTAATGAAAATTTTGAAAATCACCTGCCAATTTAAAATGGAATTGTATAATTGGTGTGATTTTAGAAATTTTCTCTAAATATGGTTTTGTGCTAATATATCTTGTCACCTTATGTTTTCCAGGTCACGCTATGCCAATCAGATCGCTGTGTTTCTCCCCCGACTCGGAACTCCTGGTGACGGGATCTGACGACAACCAGATCAAAATATATGATGTGTAAGTGATGGCTTTGTATTCTCCCCCGTTTGAGAAATTCCCCACCTTTTAGGCAGGGATACACAATCTGTTTCTCCATGAAGAAAGACTTTTTTATGTCTCAATAAATAATCAGATGGCATCAGGTTATAACTTGGTGCTGAGCTTACCATAGTTTTTTTGACTGAAACATTTCATTTCAAAGTAAGAGAGGAACATAAGTTCTCTGGGTAACATTCTTAAAACTTTACTAATCCAAGTGTTGAGATAGTCCTGTCTCACCCTTCAAGTGGGGAAAGACTATATACTTGTGTTGGAAATTGGAAGTGGAAATCATAATCGATTATTAGAAAACATTTAATGAACGATTATTGATTATAATTGAACATCCAATTTCTGGTAATATGTGTAATTATGATGGTATACCACTTAGAATTGGGATTTGCAGCATAATTCTGCCATGTCAAAACAAAGGCTGACTTGGTATATCCATTTGACAGTCTGTTGTGTTTTTAGACTTTTATATTTAACCTAGTACTAGAATTTGAGTAAGAGTAAATCTGACAGGTATCAACAGAAAACAGCATGCAGCATTTAAACCAATTATGAAATTATGAAATTTATCAATCGGTTAATTTGAATTAGTTGTACAATCGGTTGATTTTCGATTATAATCAATTATCGGAACAACACTACTAGTAACACAGTCCAGTGGGGAGGGAGGGGGATAAGAAATCTCCACCTTCTACTGTGGCATTTCATCAACTAGGTGGTAACCCTGACTTTACTATGAAGCATGATATCCTACATTACATTGAACATACATAACATATCATTCTGGCCACTGCAATGAGAATCAGTATTTCACATCAAAAAGTTTGGTGCCTTTGAGAGAAGAAATCAATTTCATAAATGTTATGGATGATTGAAAAGTTCCATCATGTAGAAAAATCAGTGTTTACAGAAACCAGCAAATGAGGATTTCACAATCTCATAACAGTTGGTTGTAACCCGTTTTCAAGAATGTAATGAGGTACTTAGGGGTACAGAATCTTAAAAATGTATCAAGTATACCTCAAAATTGATAAATTAAAAATCCTTAAATTATGTACTGTATTTGAATTTTTACAGCCAGCATGCAAACCTAGCAGGAACACTATCAGGCCATGGATCCTGGGTGTTGAGTGTTGACTTCTGTCCAGACAACACCCACTTTGTCTCAAGGTATTTATGTCAAAACACTGGAAAATGGTCATTTTTACACAGTCACATATCGGTATCATAAGCATGCTTTACGATCTTTTTCATATTTGTCTGCCAAATTACATGTCTACCCTAATAAGAACATTTGATTGTGTTTCTACAAAAAATGCAAATTATTTTTAAACATTGAAGTGTTTTCAACAAATAAGCTTCCATATTTTTCATAGACTGTCTACAAAGTTTAGATCATTATTTGTATACTGTGATTTTATGTCTTTTTTCTTACTAAAAATGTTTTGAGGAACATGAATTCTCGTAAATATGGTACATTGTATTCCTTTGCATAACTTATCAATTCTTGTAAAAATTCCAGTGATACCTGCAATGAGAGAGGCTGTCAGTTTGGGCTGTTCCCATCACTTTCTCGTTATTTGGTTAATGAGTTTTCATACATTTGATTAAGATTTTAATACGTAATGTCTTGTATGTGTAACCTTGATGTCTATATTCTATTACCGGAAATAAATAGAGGATATTAAATGGTGTCTTCAGTAATAACAAACATATTTCACGAGTGTGGCAATTATTTTGATATTTTACACGAGTGCGCAGCACGAGTGAAAAATATCAAAATATTAGCCACATGAGCCACACTTGACAACAAGGCTGCGCACCTTTTTGAATGAGATACTCAACGCAATTCCGACGTTTTCTGTTGTTTTCTGGTATTATTGCTTATAAAAATGTTATCAACTGTATATTTATGTAAATACTTAAGTGTGTGTACCAAACATTTACCATAACAACCACTTTTTCTACCTTCGCTTCATTTGAATCTGAACAAAAAAACGTTGCCTTTGAATGCAGTGAATAGAAGATACCGTTATGATTGGTCAATATCAAAAAGTGATACTTTCACACTGTGAAAATATCACTTTTGATATTTGTCACAGTGTGAAAGATATCAGTTTTATCAAGGTGATAGAATCCAACATTTTACTGCCAAAAATGTAATAAATGTTATTATTTGTTTTTGTGGGAAGTGGATATAAATATGAATAATGTTATAAACTTTTCTTCCTCAGTTCATCAGATAAGACGGTAAAGATCTGGAACGCTGGATCCCGGCAGTGCGTACACACATTCTACGACCATACAGACCAGGTAACTACCACGTACTGTGTACCTATCAAAGGGCTGGGGTGTTAAAGGTCGTTTCCAGCCTCATCAGGGACTTCGAATAAGTTGTTACATTCGTAATCTAAAATAAATGAAGTATGTAAATATGAAATTTCAAATTCATTTGATAACTGGTTTATAGGAGATATGGCATTACAAAGAGAGACATGAACTGGCGTTTTCATTATAAAATAAGTGAATATCTTCTGTTGTGCGCTATTTGGTTAAAAAATGGCAATTTTTAACCCTTTCACCCCTATGTAACTTTAGTAAACTTTACCATGCATTGATCTAGATGAGTCCATTATGGTCCACAGGGTTAAGGAAGTTAAGTAAGCACTCTTCGATTTTTGAAAGCCTCGGCATGAAACAAACAAATAAATACATGACATGCTAAAACATAGTCATACCAGTGTTCATTCGTAGAAAGAACCTTTTGTTTGTCAGATGTGGAGGCTTTCATTGCTGCAGGCTAACTGTCCAAAAACACCATGTTTTGGCTATTTCTGCATAGCAACGCAATTTCATTGCTGTGGTAGGGCATCTACATATGTGCAATGAAAACAAACCGCACTAAGAAAGATAGCCCAAATTAACCAATATGATGTTTATGAGAGGAGTTGGTATATAAATTCAAGTTGAACTGTTTACTTTTTATGAGGCCTAAAATGACCCATAATGCCCGAAGTCCTTAGATCATATAAAATTGATGATTCTTTATAACTCAAGCATCTTTGTTATAAGTTATCGTTATAAAAGAAATCCTTCAAAGTGATGTTTGGGCAGACATCTGGACGCAATGATATAGTGTATATATAATATATCATAATACTATAATTATATTTATATAGGAAGTACACATCCGGGGGGTTTCTGCTAAGAGGACATTGAAGAAAACCACTATTGCCCCATTGCAATATTTGGGATCGTTATATTTTCTCTCCACTACCTGAAAACCTTTTTGTTTTAATGTGCATTTTTTGGCTTAAGTGTTGAGCGTTCACCCGTGTAGGGTAGGCAATGGTCTCTGTATCAAGGCCGGGATATAACAAAGTCAATAAAAATGGTAGGTGTTATTTATTCCCTGGTTAACGTTAAACATTTAGGGGAATGGCATCAACTGGTTCACCCGTTGTCAGTATCATGTGACAAGTGGAATACTGCGTTAGCTGAGGTAGCAATCTAAAGTTGGCATCAGAACTGGAGGCACGTTCTAAAATGACCTTAGCCTAGGACATTAAACAAAAGAAAAGAAAACAAAACCAAACATACAGCATCTGTGTCATATCCCTTGCAAAGCTACAGTATTTATTTCTAAAATATAAAGGTTAGTCATACACAGAAACAGTTCTTACTAGTTGCATTTTATCAGATAACAACATTGTAAAATGTCTATGCTATCATAAGTAGACAAATGCATCAACATACCCTGCCTCCAGCACAAAAACGCTCAAGCACACATACATTATATACTTGGAGGCACATTCTTAAATGAACTTAGCCTAGGACATTAAACATACAAATCTTCTTAGTGTGGCCAGCATCTATGTCATATCGCTTGCAAAGCTACAGTATTTATTTCTAAAATATAAAGTTAGTCATGCACAAGAACAGTTCTTACCAGTTGCATTTTATCAGATAACAACATTGTAAACTGTCTATGCTGCTTACTCTAGAAAATAATTCAATTAGTTAGGCTGCTCACAAGTTCTGCCATGTTTGTGTTTTACAGGTGTGGGGAGCCAGGTACAATCACGACGGATCAAAGAGCGTGTCAGTGTCTGATGACAAAGCTATACATGTGTATGACTCTCCTCTAATGTCAGGCTGATATATTTTTTTCAATTTTGGATGTATGTTAGATTTATCTCCCTTTAAGATGTTTAATTAACTATGAACAATTTAAAAGCTCAAATTTTCCTCCAGATTCTTAATGTATGGGTATGTTTTGGAATATGCCATCCATTCATTAATTGCAAATTGATATTTGTGAAAGATCTTTTTAAAAATAGAGACATGTTACGGCAAGCAAGTATTTATTCTAATATAAAGGTCCAGGGGCCTGTTTGTTTATAAAATAAATATACAGTATTTGATATAGTGCCCTATCTAGCTAACATAAGCCACTCTAAAGCGCTTTACAGTACATATATATACAATTTTATACAGTCAATACAATTACCATATACATTAATCAATACAACTTCGAGGAATTTGCAGGAGCTGCCTTATCAGGCGCTAACTACTAGTCCTATGCCACCTGGCTAATATATGTGTATATGCCTGTGTGTGTGCTGGAGATGTATTGTGCGGAACAACCATTGTGACTGTTTTTAAATGTAACATTTCCAGGTATAAATTTGGTGGAAGGCTTTGGCAAGGCCCGCCTGAAAGCAGCATAAGATTATTAGGTCCTACCGTATTTTATAAACGAACATCTCTGGTCTAACCAGACCAACATGGACCAACCTTCTGGATCGCGATAAACGAAAGTGGCCCAGTAGTTCAATTCTCGATTAGCTAAATGAATGTGTTAAGGATATACATCCAGGATGTAACTGTAATGGGACTTGGCCATGAACCTACTGCTGATCAGGTAGCTAAGTTTATAAGAGTTGCTGAATTGTAATTGAAGGTCCATGGTATGAATCCCAGACGGGCACCAACGTATCTTTACTTTCAGAACACATTGATTTTAAAATTCCTTTTTTTTTTTTATTAAGAACAGGCAGCAGGCCAAAATGACTGGTTCATATCAGGTTTTAGACCAGAATTGATGAACTAAAACCTTGATGTTTTATAATTGATCATGATAAAGTTAAATATGTAAGATACATTTGAATTTTCTGATTTATACGTCTCGCAATTCTATCATCTCTAGATGAAGTTATTATATGGGTAAAAGACAAGAAAAGAAAAGGATTTGTGGCGATGACAAAGTTTATAAACACTGTTAATTCAAATAATAAAATAGAAAAATGTTAAATTTATCACAGACTATTACTCCTTGAGTTTGCAAAAGCCAATTGTTAATTTCCATTATTTTGTGAAATTTCTGCAAATCAAGTTTTGTTCTAGAATATATATATTTTCACTTTATCTCTCAAGATAAACCTTTGTTGAATTAAAACTATCTTACAAATTTCACTGAATTAAACTAGGGATGATACATATGCTACATTCAAGTATTTAAGCTAAACCATTATTATGATCATTAGTATTAAATTGTCTGCGTTTCTAAACGGGAGATTATTTTGAATATCATGTGGATCTTATCTGTGAAAAATCATACAGAGCTACTTGTGTACGTAGCCCTTCTATCCTCAGATTAACCAAAAAGCAACATCCTTTTAATACATGTATGTGTATGTTATAAATGTGATGTGTATGTGATAACCTTTCTGAAGGAAGTTCAGACAAAAGATGGGGAGAAAAATTGATGTGTATTTCTCCTTCTGTTATTGAATTTACATTTGGTTCCAAAGTCCATTTCTGTTCATAATATTAAAACAGGGCAAACAAATTACAAATTATAAGATTTTCAATGAGTAAATACTGAAACAGATGCTTGAGAACTTGTGTTAATTGATTATTTTTTTTTATTAATAAATTTGAGTATAAACATATATCAATATATACTATCTTTGATATGGCTTTTGTGAATGGTCATAAAACTAAGGTTGAAACCTGTTGTTCAAATCTGATCAACTCATTGAGTAATTATTTACGCAAATTTTCAAAATGTATTTTTTATTTTAGTATCTAAAATTTCACAAATATTGTTTCCATTAGTCTAATGGGGATAATTAATTCTGATCCCTATACAGTCAGGATTATTGCTGAATTGCAACAATTTTTTTTCAAAACAAATTATAAACTTTTTTTGTTCTAGTTAATCTTTCAAAAAGTTGCCTTATTAGTTTGGAATTCTTCGTCTAAATATTTAGAATTTTGAAGCCAAAATAATCATTTTTCTGAAGTGTTATTTTAACACATCGTGAGTACTTGTACATAGAGAGAGATTATTATTGAGAGTATACAAGAAGTGTGTTTGTTGTACAGAATGAATGTGGCTTGTACTGATTAGGAACATGAATACATCCATCAAACATGAATGTTGGGTTTTAGTTTGCATTTCAGTATGTATTCTTATGAAACCAGTGATCTCGCAGAACTCATAAAAATGTCATGATGATTCTGTATACACAGGTATATTATGATCCCAAGTAGGATTATCACAAGCAGTTCTCGTGAAATAGCTTAAAGCTATTTTCTTCTTTCATTGCTTTACAGGCCATCAAAATTAGACATTCACAAAAAGGAATAAATACATCGAACATCAACTAAAAGGTTGAAATGTTTAAAAGATGTATCTGAGGAGCGGTAGTCTAGTGGTAGGATGCCGGTCTCGTGACCGAAGGGTTGCAGGTACGAGGCACGGCACTGTGTTGTATCCCTGAGCAAGATACTTTACTTCGCTTGTTCAAGTCTACTCAACCGTAAATGAGTATGTGATTGGGCAGTGCTAGAATTGTAGAATGCTAACTGTGAGCGTCGAAATGGCAGCACCGGCTGTATGTTCCTTAGGGAGTTGAGAATGATATTGGCTGGTTGCGAAGGCCCTATAACCAAGGGTAATAATTTGTGAATCGCTTTGAGGCGACCTACGAACTAGGTTGTGATAAAGCGGTTTATAATCTATAAGAACCTCGAATTATTAT